AGTGTGCAAGCAGCTCGTGTCGCAGTCGGTGAGTGGACGTCGAAAGGGGGAGGCACCGCGCCCGCCCCTTCCCCCCCTCCCTCCCCCCCAACCGGGTCCTGGGCCTGGGCGGGGAGGTGGTGGGGGTGGGGGTGGCGGACCGATACTCGAGGTGGGAAGAGCAGTGGTGCGGGTGTTGGTGTGGGGATTCACACCGGTGTTGATGTTGGTGTTGGTGTTGTCACTGGCGCCGGCGTTGGCTCTTGGTATCAAACGCCAGCGGTGGTGTCGGGGTTGGAATCAGTCGTGACGCTGCTGCTGGTGTTGATACCGGTGTTGGTGTTGGAACTGGTGTTGTTGACGTCAAGTGGCGTCAACAGCAGCGACATCAACATCGCCAGAGTTGCTCTTGCCGATGTCGCCAACACTCGCACCAACAGACTCCTCCTGGCGTGTTTCTACTCCTGTTCCTTTCTCTCTGTTCTTCGCCTGTTCCTTTTCTCTGTTCTTCGCCTGTTCCTTTCTCTCTGTTCTATTCTCTCTGTTCTTCGTGGTTCTTTCTGTTATCTTTCGCGCTCAATTCTTCTTCTTGTGTGGCTTATTTTGCTTTCAGTTTCTGATTCATATCTTTGGCTAATCACATACCTTTTGTTACTTCTTTTTTGTTGGCTCTCTTTCTATTTATTTGTTTATTTTTGCTATGTCTCTTCTAATCTATTCTTATGTCTTTTTGCTATTCTTGTATTATTTTTAGTTTCGTTATATTCCATGTCTCTTTGTTGTATCAATTTACTGTTTGTTTATCCATATACATTTGTTATATGCCTTTTTATGCATGTTCTTTGTTATCTTTGTTATCGTTGTTTTGTCTATTCCTCCTTTCTTTATTTTTTGTTTCATTTCATTTGTTTTTTTATTAATTTTCTTCGTATCATTAAGGAATGCTTTTGTCGTTTCGCTCTCCGTTTTATTGCATTTTCTTCCCTCAATTATCAAAAAGTAATTAACTGTTGATTTAATCAGCCGCAGAATTATCATTATCATTATCATGATTACCATATTTTTCCATTTTCATTTCCATCTTCGTGACATCGGCGGTGCTGCTGCTGTTATTAAAAGGCCTCGTGGGATGTCAGCAGCATTGCCACTCTTGATATCATTGTACTGTAATTATCACTACTCAGGCTAATAATGCTGACAGGTCTGCTGTTGCTAGTTCTGCTACTACTTTTAGAAGATAAGATGACAAACTGTTATTACTACAATGATTACTATTACTAGCAGTACTACTACTACTACTCCTACTATTAATATCAGCTCTACTACTGCTACTACTACTATTACTACTACTTTTACTACTAATATCAGCACTACTGCTACTACTACTGGTTCTGCTACTATTTCTACAACAACTGCTACAAGATTATTCATTCTAAATATTAACCTATCATATCTCTTAATAATATCTATTATCATATCTATCTTAATATCTATCATAACCTATCATATTAAAATAAAAAATACATAACGAGTCTTTATCTATCGACTTTTCGACCAATGCTTTTTGTCGACTTATCAAAAACTTCTCACATGTCAATCATTCACAACACTTTTAGCTGCCAACCCGTTTCTCACCCATTATCTGTCGACCCATCACTCCATTATCTTCATTATGATTATCATTATCATCATGGTTATCATTATCCCCATCATTATTATCATAATCATCAAATCATCACAATCGTCACCATCACCATAGTCATCCTCATCACGATCACCATCATTATCATCACCATTTGCATCATCATCACTCCATATCACGCCATCATCATCACTACCATTATCATCATCATCACCATTGCCATCATCATCACTACCATTATCATCATCACCATTCATCATCACCATCCCATCATCATCACGTCATCATCATCACCATCATCATTGTCATCCTCATCACGATCACCACCATTATCATCACCATCACCATCATCATCACCGCCATTATCATCACCATCACCATTGCATCACCATTATCATCACCATCACATTGCCATCATCAACCATTATCATCACCATCACCATTGCCATCCTCATCACGATCACCACCATTATCATCACACCATCACCCATCACCATCACCATCATTATCATCATCACCATCACCATTGTCATCCTCATCACGATCACCATATCATCACCATCTCATCAGCATGCATCATCAGCATTGCCATCATCACCATCATTATCATAATCATCACGATCACCACCATTATCATCATCATCACCATCACCATCATCCTCACCATCACGATCATCCTCATCCTCCCCCTGACCCTCACCACCTCCCCCCCTGACCCCCTCCCCCCGGCGCAGGTCTACGCGGTGATCGCACCCCCTGAGCGGCGACCTCTCTCCCGCCGCCGTTTCCTACACGAGCGGGTTCTACCACATCCCGGTCATCTCCTCCAGGGACTCGGCCTTCTCAGATAAGGTGGGGCCCCTTGGTGCTTGGGGAACGGGGTTGTTGTTGTTGTTGTTTGGGTTGTGGTGGTGGTAACCTGTTGATGTTTTTAATGGGTGGGGGTTGTTATAATTATGATTGTTATCATTCTTGGTGTTACTTTCCGTTTTTCCGTGTCCTATCCCCGGCCATTCGCTGCCCTACGAATGCTCAAAATTACCAGCACCCACGTGGCCCTCGACTCCTCCTCCCTTCCCCCCAGTCCCCGGGGCCCTAGAACCCACTCCCCTCCTCCCCCCCAGCATCCCCGAGAACCCCATCCCTCCCTTCCCCCCCAGCATCCCCGTGGGCCCTCGAACCCCCACTCCCCTCTCTTCCCCCCAGCATCCCGTGGGCCCTAGAACCCCACTAGGTGGGCCCCCCCCGCATCCCCGTGGCCTAGAACCTCCACCCCTCCCTCCCTCCCCACCCCTAGAACCCCAGTCCCCGTGGGCCCTAGAACCTCCTCCCCTCCCTTCCCCCCAGCATCCCGTGGGCCCTCGAACCCCACTCCCTCCCTCCCAGCATCCCCGTGGGCCCTAGAACCCTCCCCTCCCTTCCCAGTGGGCAACACCCCACTCCCCTCCCTCCCCGCATCCCCGTGGGCCCTAGACCTCCCCCCCTCCCCCCCCCCCACGTGGGCCTAGAACCCCACTCCCCCCCTCCCCCCAGCATCCCCGTGGGCCCTAGAACCTCCCTCCCCCCCCCTCCCCCCAGCACCCACGTGGGCCCTAGAACCCCACTCCCCTCCCTTTCCCCCAGCATCCCCGTGGGCCCTAGAACCTCCCTCCCCTCCCTTCCCCCCAGCATCCCCGTGGCCCTCGAACCCCCTCCCTCCCTCCCCCCCAGCAGGCCTAGAACCTCCCTCCTCCTTCCCCCCAGCATCCCGTGGGCCCTCGAACCCCACTCCCCTCCCTTCCCCCCCGCATCCCCGTGGTGGCCCTCAAGAAACCTCCCTCCCTCCCCCCCCCCCAGCAACCCACGTGGGCCCTAGAAAGCCCCACTCCCCTCCTCCCCCCCAGCATCCCCGTGGGGGCCTAGAACTCCCTCCCTCCCTTCCCCCCCCAGCCCATCCGCCGTTGGGCCCTCCGAAGCCCCAACTTCCCCTCCCCCCCCAAGCATCCGTTGCGGCCCTAGAACCTCCCTCCCCTCCCTTCCCCCCAGCATCCTCGTGGGCCCTCGAACCCACTCCCCTCCCTTCCCCCCCGCATCCCCGTGGGGCCCTAGAACCTCCCTCCCCTCCCTCCCCCCCACGCACCCACGTGGCCCTAGAACCCCACCCCCTCCCTCCCCCCCAGCATCCCCGTGGGCCCTAGAACCTCCCTCCCGCTCCCTTCCCCCCAGCATCCCCGTGGGCCCTGAACACTCCCCTCCCTCCCCCAGCCCCCCGTCCCAGAACCTCACTCTCCCTCCCCCCCCGTGGGTCGTCGAACCCCCCTCCCCTCCCAAGCACAACCCACAGTCCCCCTCGAATCGTCACCGCCTTCTCTCCTTCGCAGAATATCCACGTGTCCTTCCTGCGGACGGTGCCGCCCTACAGCCACCAGGCCGACGTGTGGGTGGAGCTCCTGAAGACCTTCCAGTACACGCAGGTCGTCTTCGTCCACTCCTCCGACACGGACGGAAGGGCGCTGCTCACTCGCTTCCAAAACCAAGCTCAGAGCCACGAGGACGACAAAGACATCAAGGTACCCGAGGGGGCGCTGCTGCTGCCTCTCCGTTTTCTCTTTTCCCGTTTCTCCTTTATTTCTTTGGTTTCTCTCGTCTCTTTTCACTCTCTATTATTTATTTATTTTCTGTTTACTCTCTGGTTTGAAAGTGCAGAGATTGATCTGCATGGTGAGGTGAGGAATTAGTTTTATATACTTCTGTTGGAAAGCATTTAGTCTATCCTAACTTTCCCAACCCTGTCTTCGCCTGACAGAAAGCTACGTCGAATCTAATTTGATCCATTCCATAGTCATTGAAAGAAGTCAATATATATACAAACGAGAAAATGTTTATATATATTACCCCTTTTAGATAGCAATGTTTACATATGTTATTATTAAGAGTAAGAGCCATTCACACACTTTATAATTTAGAGAGAGCGAGAGAGAGAGAGGAGACTCTTTATACACTTTTGAGAGAAATTAAGAGAGGGAAATACAATTACAGTACTTTTTACAGAGGGATAGTGTGTATAAAAACTTTTACATACACTATCCATTAGATGGCGATAGAGACAGGGAAAAATTATATACTCTAAGTTTAACAGGGAGATAGAGAGAGGGATTTTTTTATATACACACTATCCTTTGGATGTAGACAGAGAGAGGGAAGAGAGAGAGGAAAAAACATTTACATACCCAAGAGATAAAGAGGGAAAAAACATTTATACACACTATCCTTTACAGAGAGATAGAGAGGGAAAAAATCTACACACTATCCTTTCCAGAGAGAGAGAGAGAGAGAGAGAGAGAGAGAGAGAGAGAGAGAGAGAGAGAGAGAGAGAGAGAGAGAAGAGAGAGAGAGAGAG